GGCTGTGATCCCCGGGGCGGCGGGCATCGGGTGCGTGCGGTGGCTGACTGCGGGCGGGGCGAGCGGAGAGCGAGGGGAGAGGAGAAAAAGGGAACGGGGAGGGAAAGGGAGGAGAGAAGGGAAAGGAGACAAGGGAGAAGGAAAGGGAAAGGAGAAGGGAAAAGAAAGAGGAGCGGGAAAAGAAAGAAAAGGAAAAGTAGAGGAGGAGAAGGAAACGAGGAGAGGGCGACAAGAAAGAGGAATACGGAAAGGAAAAGGAGAGGAAAATGAAAGGGAGATGGAGACAGGAAAGGGGAAGGGAAAGGGGAAAGACAAAAGGCGAGGAAATATTGAAACAAGGGGAAAGGGAACTGGGAAGAGAAAGGGAAAAGGAAAGAAGAAAGGGAAAGGGGAAAGGAAGGGGAAAAGGAAGAAGACAGGGAAAGGAAAGGTGATGAGTGAAGAGGAAAGAGAAAAGGAGAGAAAAGAGAAAGAGGACTGGGAAGAGTTCAGGAGAGGGGAAAGAAAAAAACAGAGGAAAAGGGAAGGGGAAGAGGGAAACGGAAAAGAACAGGACAGGGTAAGGATACAAGAGGGAAAGGGAAAGGAAGGTTTGCCTGTAGCATAACAAATCTGCGCAGCCCAACACCCCGGGTCAACCCCGTTTGCCCTGGCCCAGCCTGGTGCCAGGTGCCCTGGCATCATCTGGGTGCTGGAGGGAGTCAAGCACAAGGTGACCTGGCTGCCAGCACAGGGACACGGTCACACCCCCATGTCCCTGGGCGTGGGCTCCTGAGACGTGCCTGCCCACATCCCCCAAAGCAGCTCGCTTGGACAGAGAGGGGCTGGGGGCCATCCTGCACTGCCTTCTCCCACACCACTTGCTGGGGAGAGCCCACCTCCCTCCCTCTGGGAGGCAATAGGGGTGGGAGGCTGAGCTGGGCACAGCTTGTTTCCCTCTGCTCTGTCCCTGGACCTTGCCAGGGTGGACCAGGCTGATCTGGGGTGCGAGGCTGCCCAGCTTTGTCTCTGGGCTGGCAAGGAGCGGGGCAGGACTAGGGGAGCACAGCAGCTGGGAGTTACCCCTGCCTCTCCTCTCTGCCAGGGGCCCGTGTTGGAAGGAGATCTAAGATGAAGTTATGGGATGTTGTGGCTGTCTGCGTGGTGCTGCTCAACACGGTCTCCACCTCGCCCCTGCCCACCGGTAAGACGCCTCCCAAGGGGCCCCCTTCAGTGGTAGAGGGGCCTGAAGATGATCTCTCCCCCATCAGCCTGCTGCCTCCCTATGCTGTGCACAGTGACTGTAAGAAACATTCCCCTTTGTAGCAACTGCTGTCTGTCTTGCTAAACCCGCTCTCCCCTTTTCCCAGGCATTAGGATGAGGAAAGGACACCCCCCCCCCTTTCTGCCCCCACTTCTCCCCCAGGCAGGGTCACTGGTTCTGGTCTAGCTGCAGCAGCTCCACACCAAGTCATCCTCCAAAGCTTGGGGTTGGCAGTTGTTGCAGCAGCAGTTATCGCCCCCTTCCCCAGCCCTACCTTCCCGGCAGTCGTAAGATCCCTTTGGTTGAAAACCACGGAGAGATGGGAAAGTTAGTTGTGTGGAGAGCAGCCAAGAGGAGCATCAGGTACATATGCCTCGCAGTGCAGGCACTGAAACTCCTTCCCCACTGCTTCAACCTCCTCTCCCCGCTCGGACCTGCCAATGCAATTATTCACTGTCTGTAGTGGGCGCAAGTCCTGATGGAGATTGGGCTCCATGGTGGGAGGCACTGTACACATCCTGGAGTGCTGCTGAGTTTCATTATATCCTCCTTGGATCCTGATCCTGAAATTAGTGTGTCCGCATGGAAATTTACAGAAGAATAGAGGTGGCAGGGTTAGGAGCTTGATGTAGAGCAATCCACATGAACCAGCTCACAGTAAGACAGCTTACAATCCAAATGACAGATAATAATAATGCCTCGCTAATAATAGGTCTCCTGCAATAGCAGATACAGGGTTTTCACAGTGGTATGTGAGTGTTACACTAACCCTGGTGGCTTTTTAAAGTGAGAGTTAATATAACTCAGTAAGAAGTGGCAAAATACTCACCTGAATTGTGAAGACGTTCACTTAGCAAAGGCACAGATTCATCTTGGAGGTTGCTCCCTTTGCCCTTGCTCAGCCCTCTCTGTTTAGCTCATTGCAGGATGCAGACAGTATCCAGTAATTGGGATTCATTTTTATCTCCTTATCTGGAGGCATGTCCTTTCCCTGCGCCTGCTGCAGCTCCAACCACGGGCAGCCCCGCTCTGGTTCCTCGGAGAGCAGCCAGGCTAACGCGACATGGAGGCACCAAGTGAGGAATCGTGTGCCTTGATCCCGCTTTCATCCCCTCCCCAACACCCATCTCCTCTTTTGCACACTCATCTATGTCCTTCCCCATTTAGTCTCTCTCTTTCCTTTTCTTGCTTGTGTTTCCCCCCTGCTGGAATCTTGCCTAGGCTGCCGCCTCCGCGTGTCCCAGCTCAGGCTCCTGCTGCTCACCGACCGGCAGCCCCTGACGTCCTTTCAGCCCCTCCACGCAGGGAGGTTGGCCAAAAGTGCTTCCTCCCAGGACTCCAGCCTGCCAGGGCTTCAGGGCCATCACACACGGTGATCTTCTCCATGGCGAGCTGCGTGGCAGGATAGGTACTGTCCTACAAAAGGCAGTAATCAGCTTTTCAGGTCACTGTGCTGGTCCCCCCGGCACAGGCTTGCTGCAGCACCGATGACAAGAAGACCATTAGGGGCAAAGCGGTGCCAGTCAGTTTGTAGCTCTGGCAGAAGCTGCAGGGTGGCAGAGCACTGATGCTCCATCTTTCCAGGTGGATAGTACTTGTACAATTCCTGCTTTTGTCTTGAAACTTACTTCTGGAAGTATGGTGCCTGGTGAGCTGGTTTCTCCACAGCAGCTTAAGGGAACAGGCAGCAATAGTGGTCTTTTCTGTTCCTAGTGTCCAAAACTTCTCATTTTTGCCTCTTTTTTTTTCTGTGGATTGGGTAAACAAGAAGTAGGAAGAAAGACAATCCGTGTTTTACCTGAGCTATGGTAGTATGAATAGACATTTCTTCCAGAAATGTCTATTTCCAGGGTACGGATGTAGGCTTTGCCAAGCAGAGCTGGGTCGCAGGTTATTGGCCATGATAGTCATTTGAGAAAGGGCTGATAGTTTGGTCTCAATCTCTTAACTCTGCGGGTCACAAATAGAGGGGCCTGGCTGCAAGGGGAAAGTAAGCAGTGCTGTTCTTCACAACAGAAATTGGGGAAAACCCCAAGAGTTCCTGTGGTCTTTGCAAGGCAGCGATTTACGGAGCACCCGTGCCTGAAAGTCAGAAATTCTTCCCTCCACTATGTTGCCAAGTCTGATGAGTCAGGGAGGACCTGCAGCAAGCCAGCTGTAAGAGAGCAGTGAAATATTTTTATTCACTTTTATGCCATTTTTAGTTGATTTAAAAGCATATGGTGTCTGGAGAGCGGTATGCAAACACTGAACCCGCGAGGCTGATCCTGTCCGGGCACATCGCTGCCTTCCCACCACGGCAGCACTTTGTTTGAGTCACCACCATCACTGTCTTTGACATATTCGTTGCTCTCCACTTACCATTTGGTGGCACGCGCCCTTCAACACACAAAGGACGTAGAACGACGTACATAAGAGGAGTGACGTCTGCACCATGTAGACTTCCCTCTCCTCTTTGAGGTTTTTTTACAAGCAGAGGGCAGTGTGCCACGAGCACGCAGGCATGCTTGCAGCTCCCTGCCTTATCTGCTGGTGGACCTGCCGTGTATTAATATCTCTGTGGATGCTGTTGGTCAGCTGCTGCGCCAAGTGCCTTTGCAGGAGGCAGCTCACGAAGTGGTGGGAGCGCCGTCATCGCCCACATGGGCTCATCTGCATAGGGCAGTGTGTGGGCGCTGAGTGGGACCGGATGCTACGTGTGTTCTCAGGGGGGTGCACTGCTCTCCCCCAAAGCGATTCCCCGTGCAGGCTGGGGGGAGTGTGGCAGTTGCGCTCCAAGGTGTGCATTGGTCTCATTCCAGAGAGGTCGGGTCTCCCCCACACCACTTGCAGTAGGGTTGTGAGATCATGTCCTGCGCCTAGGGACAGGTCAAACACCTTGCTGGAGCACAGATCTGCTTTCCCAGCCCCTTGACACCTTTTTGTGCTCTCATTTGATGGGATTGCTTTTCTCTGAAAAGTGCCCTGAGGTCACCTGGTGTTACCCCATCCCTTTCTGATTGGCTCGAAACCTTCCTTCATACCAGCCTACAGGCAAGGTTCTAACCTTCTGGGCTGATCAGGTGTAATGTGCTGACCTTTGCTGTTCAGGGCAGTAATTAGAGATGGAAGAGGGTGTTGGCAATTGCGGTCTTCTGCATTTTTTAGTGGACTGGAAGCTGGAGTGAGAGTTTCCTCCATAAATGCAGTGCATTTGAGATTAATCCAGTGTTTGTAGGTGTTTTGGCATCAGTGTTCATGGGGTAGCTCATTTCACATAAAGAAGAGTCGCTGTAGACTTTGTAAGGTTAGAAAACCCGTTCTTTGTTTCCCACATGCTACAGTCTGCTCGGGGAAGGACACAATTAGCTTAAATAGCAACTGCAAACAGAACAAATATAAACCAAGTTATTATAAACTAAATACTAAGTCAGCAGCTTCAGAGGCATGACAGCGCAGAGGGAGCCAAACACTTGGTTTGACTTATACGCTGTTCCCAGTGAATACATTTTGTAACCGCTTGCCATAATCAACATGTATGTGAGGACTGGAGTATCCTAAGATCCGGGATATGATATATAGTCTCTTGATCAAGTGAGCAGCTTTAGTATGAACTCGTGGTAAGCATGCAGAATTAAATGAAAAATCTCACCAGGGGCTTTTTCCCTCCTAATAGAAGGAAGAGGGTTTTATTTTTTTCCGCATTATAACATCTGAGTTACTTTACAGCCACTGGATGGTCATTTGTTGTTGGAGCTCCTTTGGTATGTTTGTTATGCTATAATGCACCATGGTATGTGTACACTGTACCTCTGTTAAAAATTCTTCATACCCCTGCTAAGGGGTATTTAATGTTGAGCTGCAATGTTATCAACTAAAAGTGTCTAGAATAAAGAGTGGTATTGTAGGGCTCTTTAAGGCTAAAACGGTATTAAATTGTACTTCCAACTGAACGCATTTCCTTCCCTACAATATTTATTAGGCACATTCAGTGTTGCAAACCAGAACTCTCATGTTTCTGTCCAGGGTTTGCTGCTCAACACACCTACAGTGTGGCACACGTGCTTTAGCCTAAGATGCCCAGAAGCTACAGAGGTAACCTGCCCATGTACAGTAAATCCGATGCATCGGAGAGGTATCTCCCACAGCGAGCAGGTGCCACACCGCCTCACTTGATCTGTGTTTCCCAGTACTGCCAGTGCATCCAACCAGTGTCAGACCGAGTGTGCCTGTGTGCCCCTGGGCCAGCACATATATAGTAAAGTTTGTTTGCATGGGCCCACCCAGGTTATCTAGGTGTTTAGAAATGTCAAGCGTTCAAGTTTGGCCATTCATGGGCAAAATTCTAGAAAAAGAAAGAACAGGACACATCTGGTTAAATCCAGATGCATGTGGCTCTAGAAGCTGATTTCTCCCCAGTCTCAGGTATGACTACTGAATATACTCCTTTGAAGGGTATTCTGGGACTTAAGGAGGAAAGGACCAAAATGCAAGAGAATATGGTTTTATTCTCATTTTAAGAGTTATCCTTTGTTTGAAGTTTTATGTCTTTGCTGCTTTTCAATTTAGGGACTTCAAAAATTTCCCAGTGGAAGTGTGGAACCTTTAAGATGTTTTGCAGGTGTGGGTTGCTAGATAACATACCTGAACATGCTTTTGTTTTTCACCTTTCATGGGCCTCTTCAATATATTTTAGAAATCCCCATGTTCAGGGTCTGCATGACAAGCAGCAAAACCCTTGTTGAAAGGCTGAAGAATTCAGCTGTGTAGTGACTATTGATAAATTGACGGGGGAGGCATTATTTGTCCACTAGAAGAGGATCCTCAGATTGACAGGTTGTAATGTCTTTGTAAATTATACTGTTCCAGTTTAGAACTGCATAAAGTAGGTTTAAAATATTTAAGGTTACGGAGACTGAGAGAAGCCACTGGGGTCATCAAATCCCATCCCCCATAACTGCAGAGGATCAGGGATGGACATCTACTGCAAATATCCAGTCTTCATCCCCGCGCACACTATCAAGCAACTGCAACTTAAAACTTGTAGTACATACACCAAA